AGCACGCGCCGAAAGATGGGCGCCCATTGGTCTGCGCGATGGGTGGAGCCCCCTAGGTCCACCCATCGATGGACCTCTGGGCGCCCGGCTCCAGCTCGAGGAGCTGCTTCAGATCCTTCTGCCTCAAAACGTGACGCCCAGAATGGAAACAAAGACAAGAGTAAACCTCTTCAAGCATGGACTGAACATAGGTTTTCATCTCTACTCTTGGTATGGTAGCGAAAAACTTTGCTTTTTTGCAGACCCCCAGTAACAATGAACAGAACCAAAAAACCAAAAAAACATGCCAAGAACAGTGAAGTTGTCAGACCATTGGACAACGGGAAATTGAGAAAAACAAAACAAAAGGCTTGCAAGAGAGCTCCCTGCAAATTGGGCGCTTTCGCAAGTAGAGAATAGTTGTTTTGTGGTTCGTCTCAGGACACGGCCCCCATCCCAAGGTATGCAACATGCAGGGAAGGGTACACAGCTAGCAAACTGGCCGGGGAACAGCGCTTCCTCATGCTTCCCACCTATCCTGCTATGGAGGTGTTGCAAGCGAAAAACCTTCTTCTGGATCGCGTATACAATGGTTTCCAGCTCCAGAGCACATGGCAGGTGTTTCTTCGTGCTGTTCCAAGTAGCGGACAAATGCAATCAATGTGCAAACTTGGCACGTACGACGTAACCTTCTACCAAAGCCAAAAACTACGAGTGGCAGTGGAGTTGCTTGCAGCACAAACCCCGTTAAGCTTCCAAGGCCTGCGATGAGTTTGAGCGGGTTTCAAGCCCGCTAGACCCGTGCAGCTCTGCAAGTCGATAACCGTTTGGTTGGAATCCACAACTTCCCCCCCGCGGAGTTCATCCTGCTAGTGGGTTCAGCACTTGCGAACTTGAGCATCCAAGTGGGAGGTTCAAGCACCGAAGGGCGAAGAAGTTGGGCACACTCGAAACTCACAACCGCCAGTGGACACCTGGGATTTGTACCCAAAACCATGAGATCAACATGGGGCCCTTGGGCCAGCTTCCCTTCCGGAGAGCGAACCTCGTCGGTCAATCTAGGCGGGTCACACCCACCATGCTTCCAGCTGTGATGCGTCGCGGAAAAACCAAGGCGCCAGCGCGTCGCAAAAATCTCTGCGCCTTAGCACCGCACAGAAGCTCCCATCTGCGCTCGAAGACTGAACACCTGGTATATGGACATACATGTGTACATGAACCATCTATCTGTATATATTCTATTCTATGTATATGCACACATGCATGTCAGGCACAAAGAAATACATTTATCTTTCAGGTTTTGCTGTGGGCCAGTCATGGCGGCATTTTCCTGTTTGTAGGCATGTATAGGCCCCCAGAATCTACACCACCATTCGCCGAGGGTTTAACCACAGTCTCGGTCAGGGCCCTCGGACGCCCCAAAGAGGACATCCCATCTGCACATACACCAAGCTGAAATAAGGGATCCTCATGCTCGTCAGGTCCTTTGGTAGTTTTGCCCGCTGAACAACACACACACTGTGTTTTGCCTTTGTATCGCATTTGCACGCCTTGCAACCTATGTTCAATGGCTCCATATCATCCCTACAGGCCCACCGTGTTGGAGATGAACGCTCTCCCCATGCCACCGGTGGGCTTGGCATGGAAGCTCCGGGCAGCCCCACTTAATGTTGGCGCTGGCTCTCCGGAAGAGCGCCTCTGCCAACTCGACTGAGGGGACAACCACCCCACCCCAAGAACATTGGGGCGTGGCTGGCTACTGCCATGTGGCTGTGGGTCAAAACCAATGGTACGATTTTGGGGTAGGTGCACCACCCATTTTAGTCTATTTTAGTGATTGGGATGTTCGCTGGGGGTACGGGTCCGTTTCTGGCCAGCAAAGTGTCTGGCTTGTCAGGACAAGGTGATCGATCCAGAAAAGCCACACCCATGGACACTCGGACGTTCAAAATATCGGCAGAACATTAAGGAGCCACGGGGCTGCCTCGGTCCAATGTGCTTCTTACACTTTGAAAGGAATCCAACGCAAAAACCTGCAAATCTCTTAAGCACACCGGACTGCATCCTTCAACCATGCCTGTCACCCCGCGCGACTAACACGGCACGTAGGACACGTGTTTGCGACTTGGGGAAGCTTGCTTGGATGCATGCCACGCACAAAGAATCAGTGGTACTGCTATCGCCATGCCCTGCCTTGAGGTTGGTGGGATCCTCTGCCAAAACCTCGGTAAAAAACAAAAGCGACGCTCCGAACTGGTCCGCTTTTGTAACCAGTGGAACTGTCCAGAACGTGTTCTGGGGCTGTTGCGTTATCACACGCCACCTTGGCTCCATAGAAGTCGCCCAGCTTCAGCATACCTCAGGTGCCAGGGATGCCCGCCCTCCCAAAAAAAAAGAAAAGAAAAGAACAAAAAAACAAATGTCAGGGAGTGAGCGGTCTAAGGACGTGGCACTGCGACTGGTTCAACTCACAGGTCCTTGGCATGGCCAAAACTGGCAGCCATGGGCTGGACAAACTCATGCACCCCTGATGGATGAACCCCAATGAATACTTGAGAAGAACCCACCTATCAACTGGTGCGGGATTTTCTCCATCCACAGCACATACCTCCAACGGGTCAGCCATTGGGCCCTAGCCTTTCACCCTGAGCTCGGCCCTCGACTTCTTGAGCTCCTTGGCTTGAGCTTTGCCGGCCTGGCGCACAGCGGCCGACCCAGCGCTCCGCTCGGGCATTTGGCTTGGATCAGGCTGCAAGGTCCCAACCCAAGAATGGACATCACCACTCGACTTGCGCAGCTTGACTGGAAGAAGATTGTAAGGAGTAAGGAAAACCTGGTGCTCTAAATAGCTACGCTAACCACCAGTCATATAAGTTACGGTCTCTGGAGCAGTTGTGCACTCCTCTGGCCAGCAAGGGTTGCACACTTCGTTTTTCAAGGATTTCCACCCTTGTGAAACGACAGGTTGTAAAACAGTGGGCTCTGCATCAACGCATCGAGTGCGTGGGACTACTCGTGGTGAGATTCTCTATTGAACAAACGGAGCCCTCATACAAAGTCTATGGCACAGCTGACTGCTTCAGGGCTGAATGCATAGCGATCCTCCTCATTTTCGTCATTTTGGGCCTGGGGGAAGCAACCGACAAAGGAACAACTTCGATCCTTGTGCTGATCATGTACTTTTTGGGGCTCGAATATACGTCTTTGATACTTCAATACGGGATGAAAGGCTCATGCGTGTGTGCGTGTGTGCGTGTGTGCGTGTGTGCGTGTGTGTGTGCGTGCGTGCGTGCGTGCGTGCGTGCGTGCGTGCGTGCGTGCGTGCGTGCGTGCGTGCGTGCGTGCGTGCGTGCGTGCGTGCGTGCGTGCGTGCGTGCGTGTGCGTGCGTGCGTGCGTGCGTGCGTGCGTGCGTGCGTGCGTGCGTGCGTGCGTGCGTGCGTGCGTGCGTGCGTGCGTGCGTGCGTGCGTGCGTGCGTGCGTGCGTGCGTGCGTGCGTGCGTGCGTGCGTGCGTGCGTGCGTGCGTGCGTGCGTGCGTGCGTGCGTGCGTGCGTGCGTGCGTGCGTGCGTGCGTGCGTGCGTGCGTGCGTGCGTGCGTGCGTGCGTGCGTGCGTGCGTGCGTGCGTGCTTGCGTGCGTGCGTGGTGTGGGTGGGGTGGGTGGGTGGGTGGGTGGTGGGTGGGTGGGTGGGTGGGTGGGTGGGTGGGTGGGTGGGTGGGTGGGTGGGTGGGTGGGTGGGTGGGTGGGTGGGTGGGTGGGTGGGTGGGTGGGTGGGTGGGTGGGTGGGTGGGTGTGTGTGGTGTGTGTGTGTGTGGTGTGTGTGTGTGTGGTGTGTGTGTGTGTGTGGGTGTGGGTGTGCGTGTGCGTGTGCGTGTGCGTGTGCGCGTGCGCGTGCGCGTGCGCGTGCGCGTGCGCGTGCGCGTGCGCGTGCGCGTGTGGGTGTGTGTGTGTGTGTGTGTCTGTGGGTGTGGCTGTGTGGCTCTTTGCGTGCGCACAAATGATGATACTATGAAAGCTTTGTGATGATTCGTTCTGGCCCCCTGTCCAGAAAGCGAGACACGAGACACTCAGGGACGCTTGGCGTTGCACCATCGCCCGTTTTTCCACGCGGTGATGGGTTCAGATTTGCACTGGCCGATGTCTGCCCAGTTGCAAGCCCATGCACACGTGCGCGACGCGCCCCGCGCAAGAACAAAGAAATTCGTCCTGCAAACTTGCTTAGGTCGTAGAATTGCCCTTCCAAAAGGCTCAAGAGACGTGTTGAGGCATTAGCCATGGTGCTGTGGCTTTTGGTGCACTTTTGGGTAATTTGACACAGCCATGCAATGAATGGCCTATGCGGGCGCACGCTGCCACGCTTGACCTTTCCTGCTGTGGTCTTGCGGGGCACCATGTTGGTTGCCCCGTGCAGGCAGCTGAGGCGAACAGGTCCTGTTTTGGCTGTCAAACAATTGAGAGCAACGTGGTTTACCTCAATCTCTGCCGCAGCAGTGGAACAAAGCAGAGACCGAAGGAATCTGCGGAATCCGTAGATTGCAACAGGCGGTCCTGCCTCCGCTGCCTGCCTGCCGTTGCAAATGGTATTGCATTAGAAAAGCTGCCCTGCCCGTCTGTTGGTGGCTGGCCACCAGCGAATTATGGCATCTTGGCCGGCAATCGCATCCGAAGGCAGCTAGTGGCTTCATGACATGATAGAAAGCACACAAATCACAGGCAAGACTTGCTTGCAGCCCAATGGAACTGGCATCCGAACACACCCCAGCTGCCTTGATGGTCTTGCTAGGCCAAGTCCCACTCATAACATCGGAAAGGCAAGCTTTCATCCCGCCTTCTGTGAAAGAGGGGTCTGAAGCAACGCGTTGCAGGTTCCACGCCAAGTGCCCGGGATGGGTATGGTACTGTAGATGGACAAACTCCTGCACCAGTCGGGATGGATAAAACTCCATGGGATAGACCTACCAACGGTGCAGGATTTTGCCCATCAACATCTTTATAAAACCGGGTTATGGTTCCTAGGAGCCGACTACACGCTGGCCTGGCTCATAGAGTGCGGCGGCCGTGGGATTGCTATGAAGCTCGGGGGCCGCACCACATGCACCACGCGCCTGCCATTCAGATGCGCACAGCCGCTTTCCACTCAACATGTCCATATTCATATATATATATATATATATCACATAGTGTAATTACATACATATATATATATATATATATATATTTACACATATAGATAGACACCCCCCAACGACTTGTATAACACGAAGCCTAACGTTCGGGGCCCGGTCCCTTTCAAGGGAAACCTCTCCAAACCAGGAGCCCCCCCCCCTACGTCACGCTCCGGCTGTTGATTGGGAGGGTAGTATGCCCAATAAATTGCGTGGTCCCTTCATGTTCTCGTGTTTCTTGGAGCTTCACGGGCGTTGGCGTTCGACCGTCGAACACATACCCCTTTTCAGTGGGAACTCCTCAGGGAAAATCAACATGACGTATGGCCAATTGGCGTGGTCACTGATTGATTTTCCGGAGCACATCGCGGCTGCAAGATCTTGCGAATGTCGATTTCTCAAGTTGCACCAGATGAAAGAAAAAACAATGCATGCTGATGTTGCAACATTCAGCATTTAAAAGTTAACATGTCAACATTGCACGTTTTTGTCTCCAGCCGGTATTCATTGCCATGGGAAGGGATTTGAATTATAAGCCTCAACGCCTCATCACTACTTTCCTCAAAGGAGAACAATGCGCTATAGTCATTCAACTCTGATGCCTTTCCGGTACCTCAGCAGTGCAGCGTGTGATTTGCTCTGGCCATGCAGCTTTTTTCATGAAGGAGCCACTACCGCGAGCTTGCACCATCCAATCAGTCAGTCAGTCAGTCAGTCATTCAGTCAGTCAGTCAGTCAGTCAGGCAGACCCAAAGAAAGGCTTCTGACATTATGAAGATCCAGCAGGCTCGGTAGCCAGCTGCCCGGCACCGCAAATACTTGACTGGAGACAGCAAAGCAAACAAGAACGGCAAAGCTTTAGATGAGCGTCTAGTACGCATTGTGCATTTAAGAGAACCTAACATGTTCATACATTTTCCACCTGCAAGCGTGTCGCTGATGGACTTCCAACAGCTTTCAGTTGCTTGTCGCCTTGTGCTTTGGCACTCCGGTAAGGATCTACGACTAGAACATTGGAACAGGCGAGAGCCGTTCGGGTGGAAATGCCATGATCTTCAATATGTGAGGAGAACATGTGAACTCCCTACGAAAACTAAAGCCATCTGCTCCATTGACGTTCTGCATATGCAAATGTTTGTTGCCAGTCCGTTTTTTCACGCTTCGAAAGGACTGCGCCACCCCCCCCCCCCCCCGCCTCTCCCCCGGCTCTCCCCCCAAAGTCCCAAGCGCCTGGGCTCCAGGCTGAGGGCAATGCGCAACAACGCGCCCCCAGCGGATGCCATCAGCACGGAGCTGTTCCTGAGGCGAGGCGAGCAGCACGGGCGTTTCGAACGCCCTGGGTCAAATTCCGAGGCAGATTGCCAAGACCTTTTGGACAAAGCCACGGGCCTCCCTGGCAAACGGAACACGACCCATCTAAACCGGTGCCAACTACTTCCAACCAAACTAACCTTAAAAGGACTATGGACGTTCTTCCCAAGGGAACCGCCATCCGGCAAGGATTGAGTTTGAAGCCCGTGCCTGGATGCTTCGGGGAATTTCGGTTGCCTTGAGTGCATCGCTTGAAATTCCCAGGAGGGCAAGTCGGAGAGGAGTACTCCAGGATGTGAGTTTCCTAGCAACAGCTGGTGGGCAATGCCGAGCATCATGGCTGGCAAAGGGCAAAAGACCTCCTTCAAGAAGTCCAGAACGCACGAGGTTTCCAGACCATGCCACCGCACCGACAAGTGCGAACGAAATGAGGGGCGCAGCTGTTTTGATCTCGAGGCCCACCCCTATGCACAAGGGTGGTTCATCCACAAAGGTTTCTGGAGGAAACTTCACACGCCCAAAAAGGTAGAAAACCTAGCCGCCAATGCAGTCTCTGCACGCGTCCAGGATTCGGCTTCGCTGCTTTACATGCCCGCATCCCGACCGATGGAATTTCTCTCCGGTCGGCGTGATCACGATTTGGCGAGGTGCCCGAGTGACGACTCCCTGCCTTTCCAGGGTCTGGCATCTTCCTCTCAGGAAGGCATTCTCATCGGTCTGCGTCTCCATGTCTCGCATGCTCTTCTTCTCTGCCTTGATGAGCTTCATCACCAAAATGGTGATAAGCACACTCATCACAACCACCACCATGATGACACCGTAGATGATGAGCCAGTCGAAGTCATCATCGTCCTCCGCTGACTTTCCTTCTGCACACTCTGCCGCATTGGCCATGATCATGGCCTTCACATAGTTCGCCACGGCGCTTCCGCGCACCACCTGGCTTTGCTGACTCCGCTCCTTGTGGGTCTTCTTCTTCGCCGCTGTGAAGGTCTCGTCAAAGACCAGTTGAATGTAGCCACCGCCCAGCGCATCGGCCAGTGACTGCCTTGCTGACAGCTTTGTCAGCCCATCCGCCAGCTGTCTCTCTGAGCTCCCACCTGATCTCGCTGCCGGTGAACTCAAGCGCCTCCTTAATGCGCAGGATTTGCACAGCAGCCCGCTTGTCCACAGCGTTCTTGATCGTGTCCCGCTTGGTCGCGTCGTATAACGCCCGAGCATCAATCACCACCGCACTCTGACCCGCCTTCTTCACCGTCTCGCCAGATCTCAGATCTTGGTCAGGATCGAGCGTGAGGGAGTAGAAGAGCTTGGTGATCATCAGCTCGTCCGTCGCCGTCGCACATGCTTGGCTTTCTGCGGAAAGCGAACTCCGGCACACCCTATCCAGCTTGAATGACCTCCAAGCCAGGGTTGTGTACCGCATGCACTCACCCTCCAGCAACTTCTTGTTTGCCGCCACCAGGATGTAGCCACCTTGCGAGCTAAAGTCCCGACAAATGCCAAAAGCCGCGTCGGAAAACGCCACAAAGCACAGCTCGTCCAGGTTCTTCACCATGCTTGGGAACTTCAGATGCACCCCAGCTGTCGCCTTGGCAAACCTCAGCCCCTTGTTGAGCTCCGTAATTGCGGTCCTTGCCCTTGCTGCGACCTCACCCGCCAGGATGCTCGTGGTAGCACAAAGATGTGGGGACACCTGTCCTGCTGGCCATTGAAGTGCTCCAAGCAAACCACGGCACTTCGAAACTTCCCGGTCCGTCATGTCACCGGTTCCGTTCTTATCCACAGTGATCGGCTTGACCTGTTTGAGGTACTCCTCCGCATCCAGGTTGATCTCACCGTGTTGAATGCTGATCTGGCATCCGCAGTATGTGATGGGGTTCTTCTCCGACAATTTCTTCCACTTGCCAAAGTCAAAGTTCTTGCGCACCTCCTCGACCACAGCATCTGCTTCCGATTCACGAGCTTGGGCGCACATCACATCATCGACGTGCATGATGAGGATGACCTTCAGTGCGTAGTCGGCCTTGCCGTAGTACATGAAGCAACATTTGTCCAGTCTGTGGCACCTGAAGCCAATCTTTTCCACTCTGGATTTTGCCTCCCGATACCACAGCAATGGCGCATCCGCGAGGCCATATGCGCTTCTCAGCAGCCGCATGTAGGCTTGTCCACGTACTCCAAGTAGAGCACTACAGTCCGCGGGTAGCTTGGCGAGGATCTTCCGGTCGAAGCTTGCTCCAGACAGAAAAGCTGCTCGAACGTCCCCAACGAACATCAGCCAGTCCAAGTTCTGCACAAAGACCGGGTCCTGGTATCCGCGCAACACAAGCCGTGCCTTTGCCTTCGGACCATTCTCCGTGACCTTCCATGTCAGCACCCATCGTGTTGACACAATCCGCGACTCATCGCCCGGGTTCACCTCCGCAAAGTTCCAGACCTTGTTGCGGAAGTAGTTCTTGTGCTCCTCCATCTTAGCCTGCATCATGAGGGCCTTCTCATCAGCTGTCATCGTTTTCTCTGATGCCTCCGTCTTCCGCAAGTTCTGGACCATCCACACATCCGAGAGCTCGTACTCACCGTCGACCATGACCCAGCCATCCGGGACATCAGGGTCCATGCCATCGACGAAGGTGATGTCATCGATGATGAGGTCATCATCGGCAATGTCTTCGGGTACGGGCACATCTGAAGGATCTGCGACACGGCGTCGCTTCTCTTCTCTCACGCCTTCAGGTTCAGGTCGGTCACTCTCCTTTCTCTCACGCCCGTCTTCTGGTCCACCTGCTTCTCCACTGACTTCAGATGGTGGTGCTGGGTCTGGTTCACTGGCTTCTCGCCGAGGCGTTCGCTCACGAGACATCGGTTCTGACCCGCTCGCCCTTCTCGCATGGCTCCGGATCAGAGAAACCACGATGCCCGGCAACATGCTCTCATCCACCTCGGGTGACTCACCTGGCTCTCCAGGTTCTTCAGGTTCATACTCGGCGTCGAGCTCGTCGCTGTCATCTTCTTCGTCTCCCGGCAACTCAGGATGGTAAACATCCTTGAACTGCGTGGTACTTCTCGCCCTCAACTCCTGCAGGTCCTTCAGCGCCGTGTTGGGGTCTGAGATCAAAGGAATCCCGGTGTCCTCAAAGCGGGGGCGCACCTGATTCGTAGCGCATCTCAGCAGAGAGGTCCCATGTGCCAGCCAAATCACGGCATCGCGATCCTTGTTATCTTGCTCAATGGCCACCACTCTTGCCGGTCCACGCCACTTCTGCTTCTGCAAGATTCCGGCTCCCTTCTCCCGCCAGTAGTAGACCACCTGTCCATCCACCACCGTGTCCTTGATCTGCCGGTAGTTCTGGTTCATGGCCCGCCTGAGCTTGGCATCGCTGTCTGCGCGTATAAACGCCGTTTGAGCTGCCAGTCGCTTCTTCTGCACATTGGCAAACTCACCAGCTGCATCCAAGGCGTCAACTGTCGGGGTGAACAGGTCGCCGGTGAGTGATTGTACTTGGTTGGGACTCCTCCCAATCACCCACTGAGTTGGCGTGAAGCCACGTGTCATGCTCATCGCGTTCACCTGGCCCGGGACATAGATTAAGGCTTGTAGCAGCCCTTTCTCCGTCTTGGTTGGCGTCCTCCATGAAGAGCTCCAGTGCTCTCCGAATGACCTGGTGCTTTCTCTCCACTGCACCGAGCCAATTGTGTGCCTCCGCCGGCGCAATCTCCAGGGCAATGTTCTTGTCGCTGGCCCAGTCCCGAAGCATCCGACTAGCCCAGCCCTTCGCCTCATCAGTCCTCAGGAAGCGAGGAACTCCGAACTGTTTGATCCAAGCCCGCTCGATGCCCTTAATGAGCTCCTCCGCACGCTCGGCCTTCAAGATGTGCACCGCCACATACCTAGTTGCTTGATCCAGAATGGTCAGCACACATTTCCGGCCCGTGTCGGTGTTGATCCACGCTGAGTCCACCACGGAGGGGGGGGGGTGAGGGCAAGTGAGCGGGGTCCGTTTGCTGACCTCGCCAGTGAGGGCAAATGAGCGGGGTCCTTTTGCTCCCCTTTCACCGTGAATGCGGCTTCCTGGTGGTTGATTTTTTACCCACACCCATTACATGAGCAAACTGATAGCCTAAGTATGGCGCTAGTAACAGCTTAAAAAAAAGGGTTTTGCTGGAAGCCCTTGTTTGGCCCTAATCATGCAATAATGATCCAGGCCTTATTCAGCACCAGTGTTCCCCCCTCCGCCTCCCCCCTGTCCACGTATATTCTTCTGATTTGGCTTTGTGTTTTTCTTTTGTTTTCTTTTTATTTTTCCGACTATTTTGTTTTGACTTGTATGTGTTTTGTTTTTGTTCATGGGTGTTTTTCATTTTTGTCTTTCCTTTCCTTCTCCCCCTTCCCCCCTTCCTCTCCCCCCCTCCCCCCCTTTGTCCCCTTGTTTTTTGTGTTGTGGTTTTCTCGTTGTTCTTCTTCTTTTTGTTTTCTTCTTTTTTCCTTTTCTTTTTTCCGAGTCATAATTTGTTTTTTTGAGTCTGACTTCCAAGCTGTTTTTTTTTCTTCCCCCTTACGTTTCTTTTTTCTCCTTTTCCAGTTGTTTTTTGTGCTGATTTTGTTTGTGTTTTTATTTATCTGCTCATTCTGGGCCTCTCCGTTAGAACTCTAAAGACTAATTGTTAGCGCTTGCGCGTGCTTGTCGAGTCACAACTGCTAACCCTCGGACAGACTTCTATACTAAAATTTTATGTCTCGCGGGTGTTTGCTGGGCCGCATGGCTTTGTCTGAAGCTCCTCCTTAGTTGCAAAACTCAGGCTTGGTCCGAGCCACACAGCTTGGACAGAGGTAGTTCTTCGCCGCCTTCAGCACCGTGTCGGTCGCCTGCACCTTGTTGAGCATTTGACAAAGCACATCGGGGGCAGGATGACCAAGGTTCTTGTGTAGCCGCTTCACGTAGTTGAAGGCTTGCGGTCCAACTTCTGCTCGCAGCTGTCGATTCTTCTTGATCGACTCATCCTCTCTCTTCTGAGCATCTGCCTGCTCATCATCGGCTTTGATCACATCTTTCTCGTCCTTGAGCTCTTCAGCATCCTCTCCAGCCATCACGTCATCTACCACCGGGGCAACAGCCATCAGGTCCGTCTGCCAAAGACTTCTTGGTTGTCCAAAAACAGGTCGGCTTTGGAGGGAACCATCACACCCCACTCATCTGGCGTCTTTAGACCATACATGCATTGGTCCACGTAGGCCATGTGTCCTGGCAGGTCACGCCACGCTTTCGTCTTCCATGCTCTGCTCAACCAGGGATGTTCCAACGTTGCTTCTCGGGCATTCTGGTACTGCTCCAGGTAGACCTCTCTCACAAACATCAGCACATTGTCATGGTTCTCGGTGCGATTCTTGACCAACTGCTGGTTCTCCCATTCACCACGGCAGGCATATAGCTCTTGCATGGGCGACCACAATCGACACATCGGTGCCATCAGGATCTCATCTGGTTCTTCCCGCTTCACCAGCTCCATGAACTTCTTCTGGCAGCCCTTGTCCTCGAAGTTCCAACCATTCTGAATCGAGAAAACTCTCGATTCCACACCGTTCATCTTGTCGAGGAACTTGCTGGTGCGGCCTTCGCCAACGAAGAGCTCCCAGATCCTACGGATTGGCTTGCCTTTCTCGCATGTCCTTGCCATCCGCAATATCTTGTTCCTGCTGGACACAACCTCCTCGGCTTCTCTGATCATCTTCCGAAGCATAGGCGTAGTTAGCTTCCTCGTCTTCAATAATGAATTCTCGTCCATGCATACCCCAACGAACTTCACCTTCTTGGATTCCGCGTTCGTTGCCTTCTCGGTCACGGGGGTCTTCGATGACTCCAAGCCACCGGCATCAAGCCCAACAGCATTCTGTTGGCTCGGCTCCTCGGACACTCCTTCATCCACGACGTCGTCCATGTCCATTGGAACGGTCCCAGACTCAACCGCGTAAGACTCTTCCAGGTTGTCCTCCTCAACCACCAGTAGCGCCTGCACTCCAAGGTTGCTCTTGAAGTCCACATGACCTTCGGCGCCTTCGGGGATGAGGTATTCCGCCACTTCCGCGTCCTTCAGTTCCTTGATGTCCTCTGCAAGATGCAGCGAGTGTTCACCTTTCGGTCCCACTTTTATCGCATGCCATTCACGATCCGGCCATCTCATCATGTTCTTGCCGTAGTCCACCGCGATGCCCATCTTCTCTAGCACGGGGCGTCCAACCAGGATGGGGGCTGTTCCACCAATGACGTAGACCAGCATCTTGCGTTTCTTCCCACCCATGTAGGTCGGCACCACCACGCAGGTCTTGGTCTCCTCCAACTGGCTATTGCCACAGCGAAAGCCTTTGGTGCATGGATACACCTCCACCTCCGCCATGTCAACACCCTTCTCCACCAGGTACTTGATGTACTTCTTCACCTGGTGCCTTGATCCGAGGAGAGCACCTGCACCGCCATCTTGCACCGCGCTGTCTTCGCCTTCAAAATCTCCATCATCCAAGCTGTATACCTGAGCATCCACGTTCTCGACCATGTTGATGTCCTCGGCATCGTCATCGAGCCGCTTCCGCTTCTCTCCGTTGCCACTCTGAGGACAGTTCCGTGCCCAGTGTCCAGGTTGGCCACATCGAAGGCATAGTTGTTTCCCAAGAGCAGCCCGTCCCCTTTCCAGAAGGTGAGCTCGGTCCTGGCTTCGGCATCTGCTTGCCCTTTCCTCCTCCTGGTCCTGGTCCTTTGGGTCTGCCCTTGAACTTCTTTCCACTACCCATCCTTCTTGCCATAGCTGCCACCGCCGCCGCCAATCATCGCGACCACGGGGAAGAAGCCTCTGGCCGTTCTCATCTGATTCATCTTGTTCTTCGCATCAACGTAGGCCGAGTACACATCGTCATACTCGTCAACGTCGTAGACCTCCACCGCCTCACCGTAGTCCTCGGCAGGTTGGTCGTAATAGTCCTGGTCGAAGTCCAACCAGCCCTCGTCCTCGCTCAGGAAGTGCACATCCAAGTAGTTGCTCGGGAAGTCTTCATCCTCAGGTTTTTCCGGACCCCAGCTTTCACCAGCGTAGAAGATCTCCTTCCTGGGTCCTCGGTGCCATCTTCCCGAATTCTCTGACTTGGAGTCCTGGCCGACGATGAAGAACATGGCTTCCTGGGCGGCCTCCACGGTCATCTTCTCGGTGCCCATGGTTGTGAGCACCATCTGACGTTGTTCCCGCGTGATGCCACTCTTTCTGATGAACCACCAGGCCAGCACCTTCTCCGGCAGCTCCACTTTGTGTGATGACCTCAGCTTCCGATGGGCTCTGGCGAAGTCGGCCGAATACTCCTGCAAGGTCTGCTCTGGCCTCCGCTGGAGCTTGACAAAGAAGTTCTCAAAGTCGTCTGGCAGCTCCGTCATGGGGTCGTACTTGAATCCGCTGTCCAGGCGAGCGAACATCTTGTCATAGCCATCAGCCTCACCTAGGGACGTGATGTCCAGGTCCTCCACGAGGTCCCAAGCCTTGCCCTGCAGCATCGTGATGATGTTGTATGAAGTCTCACGGCCTCTGCCAGCCAGCTCCATCTTTCTCTTGTAGATTTCACATCTCTTCCTGAATTCGCGGTAATCGCGCTGCTTGCCATTGAAGATTGGCACGTAGTTGTTGGCCTGTCCAGTGTTCACCTCGGATGATGAACCTTTTCCACCACCTGATCCTTCCGCCTCCGGCATTCTGGTTCAGGTTGAGTTCCAGGGCCTGCAGCGGCTTTAGAATCTTCGCGATCGCCCGAATCTCGGGCTCCGCTACCAACTTCAAGAAGTCCAGAACGCACGAGGTTTCCAGACCATGCCACCGCACCGACAAGTGCGAACGAAATGAGGGGCGCAGCTGTTTTGATCTCGAGGCCCACCCCTATGCACAAGGGTGGTTCATCCACAAAGGTTTCTGGAGGAAACTTCACAACCTCCCTTTGGGATCCAGTGGCCGGATCTCACCCCGGTCGGTTCCAAATGGATCCAACTGACTGGGCTGTCTTCAGATCGCCTGCTACTAAAAGTTTAACTTTTATTGGGTCAAATGGAAAACCCCATAAAACCCCACTAAACGCCAAAAGGCCAAAGAGCTAAGGGGATGGCTGGGAGCCACCAAGCTGAAAGCTGAGGGTCCCCATCCCCCCAATTCCGACGTACCCAGATCCAGATGGCCCCCCAGTCGGGCCAGTCAGTCTGCCAGGCCACTGCTCTTGGTAGGCCAAATTCCGCAGCACTCGCATGGAGGCCACATGCCAGCCTCCAGGTGTACCGCCCTTGATGCGGCGACCAGTGCTGAGCCACTCCTCAGCGCCATGCCGCATTTTGGTAGGGGAACCCTGCCCCCAAAATCGAGTAAAAGGGCACTACTGGGGCACCTAGTCAAACTTGGTGGACTTCAGATGATATCACTGGCCCTGCCAAAGAACTGAGGACACCTATTGAGTTGTTGAATCTTAGCAGGTCCAATTGTGCTGAGCTGCTTTGTTGGAGCAGTTATGTCTCTACGGCCTTTTTGTTGGCATGAGTGAGGACGGCTTCTTGGCACATCCCACACGAGCAGCACAGGTTGCTTGCAAAATCATTGTCACGAGCTTGAGCGAGCAAAGTTGATCGTTCAGAACTCGTGTTCGCTTCAATTTGACGAATTCCTCATGCCGATCCAGCAACACAATTTGTCACGTGATATCACGACCGTGCCAGTGGCCTGAATTCCAAATGGTCTAGTCCAAACCTTTGGGTGCGCCTGTGTTGACTAAATCGCCATGCCTCGGTCAGCTGGTACCAGCGTTTCTCTGCCGAGCACCCTGCATGCCGAGCTGCTACCTTGGACGCGTTGCCAGCACCTCAGACATGGAACACGTGCAGCGACGTGTCTGAGCCAATCTGTCCTTATGTCCACGCAGGGCGTTCACATGGTAGGAGGATGTGGACGACTTACGCAAAACTGCTTTGCCCTCAAACATCTGCTATCGAATCCCGCTGTTTATTTTGAGACAATTGGGGATGCTCCCTCGCATCATTCTGTCAAAGCTGGCTCCGTGAAATGCTGAAGTCACTAGCAACTACACTTTTCCTGGCCATGATGATGCCATGGCCAACCAAACGCAACAATCCTTTCTTTGCCTGTCCTGAAAAGACAGGGCCAGCAACAGAGGGAGCATTCTTACACCCAACCAACGGAAGCACACACTCTTTTGAAAGACTTCTCTCCGTGTGAAAGAGAGAAGTGGCCTGTCATGCTAGTAAACAATTGTGTACAAGCCACGACACCTACTCCATGACAATGTCAAGCATCCCTTCCCTAACCCCTTGACCCGCGTCCCGATTTTGCAAAGCGGAAACACGCCAAGCCTCTCGCGCCTGCCCTATCTGAGGCCTCTTGCACCAGGGGGCGTCGCCATTGATTGCCCAAATCGATTTTGCTCTTGTTCGACCATGACGGTAAAACTTAGAGAGCGTTCACTGATGGGGGTGGGTTTTTGAACGCCATCCAAATCCCTATAATTCAAAAGCCACCCTGGCCCTTCTAAGCTCTTATGCAGGTCTTCAAGCCTGGTCAAAGAATGGCTCGCCAGCTTGGCCAATGCTTTTGGCCACTGCTCAATAGCACATCAAGAAATCTGCCCCATCTACAAAACAACAAACAACCCGGACCAACATCTCCGACACAAGAAATGTTACGCCCAGATGCTTGGCCCTTGCATCACGAAGAGTACCAATGCCTCAGAGCGGAGGATACCATGCAGTATTCTCTGCTTTGGTTGGATATTCCACATTAAAGCAAAAACAGTTGTCACGGATATGGTGTCAAAGGCATCCAAGTCTTCATTGGGTCAAACAAGTTTAAAGACACATCCAGCATTCTTCAAACAGCGCATCGTCTTTTGGAGACCTGCGCAACCCGCAGCATCTTCCGACTCTCACCAGCGATGCACGGGCCAGTCCCAACCCCCCGCTCCCCGCTCGCCTCGCCGCGCTTGGGCACGCGGCCCGCCTCTGTGATGCGAAGGTCTGCCCAGCGAAGCCTCACCTAAGCTCTGCCCTGTGGAAGTCACACATGGCTGTGGGTCACAACCCAGGAAACCCCTGG